TAAAGACAAGCGATTGTCAACTTTTTATGAGAAAAAAAATCTTGCTTGTTTCCATTGCCCTCAGATGCACCGAAGATACGACAGCTATCGGCCTAGTGCGCAACGTAATGATTCGCACCGACGCTCATATAGTCGCTCAAGGAAGCGTTCTAGGAGTCAATCCAGCTCTAGGTCCAGGTCCAGGTCCGAAGAGAGAGACAGAGGCAGAGGCAGATCCCCAAGGACAAGAGAACATTGGGAACAGGAAGCTAGTCTAGACCGTATTGCATTAGAGCATAGGGCTCGTTCACCAAGAAGGACCAGACTGCAGTCTCGCTCACCTTCAATAACACAAGGACATCGACTGGACAGTACCGTGCTTCGTTCTTTCAGAGATAGAAAGTGGCCAAGAATACATAATTCAAGGAGCAGGTCTTCGAGTATAACTAGAACCGAGGCAGTAATTAGATCAGGAAGCGTTACATCATCAAGTGAAACAACTAGCAGGGCAGGAAGTTTATCTCGCGGGGTGACACCAGAAACTATAACATCACAATATAACGCGGATCCGCTCAAGCCCAATGATACATCTTCACCTTCTTCATTGCCAGCAGATGATGCGATCTCGCCATCTCCCCTCCTAGCACCCCCTTCAACTGAAACTTCAAATGGGGGTAATACAGGGATTCCCAAAGTATCTCAGAATAAAGATAAAAAGGCGGATTTTGACGAACCACATTTTAGTTGTGAACAGACATCACTCGACCAAGCCTTAATTGACTCTGCGGAAAAGCCATTATCTCCTGCGGCGCGGGTTAGTCCATGCCCTGGTAACCAACCTCCGCAGCCCAACGACATGCTTGAGCAGGATGATATTCCGGAAACTAGTCAACAAAGACCACCAACAGAGCGATATTTTTACATAAGATGCAAGGAATCAGATCTCAATGTCGCACAGCGGGAGGTATTATCTTACTTTAATTGAATTTTTACAAACTATATTTGCTGGTTTACTTGCTTGTGTTCCTCTTCTCATGATAGCTCCATAATCAAAAAGATGCTTATCGATCATATCATTGGTTTTTATTTTTTTTATTAGAATATCTGGCCTACAAATCCATTGTATGACGAATCATTTCGAAAAGCATACGACGTGAGTTTTCAAAGGCTACTAATTCACTTGGAATTAAAGATCATTGCGAAAATAATAAAATTTATATTTGATTTCTTTCATACTCCTTTTATGATCAATTGATAGGAATCCAGATCGGTCTTCATCATCTTTACTTCAAGTATGTCAAGAAGTTTTTGTGGAATTGCGCGAATGGCGTCACCAATCACTTGGCCTGCCGCGAGAACCATTTTCGACCGCTCGAAATATCGGCAGTGGATGCAACTGGAATGGATTTCTAGGTATAACAACTATAGTTTTTAAACATCATGCTGTGATATGTTCAAAGATGCAGATCCTTACTTTTCTTTTTTTTTTTTTTTTTTTTTAAAAAAAACCCCCTTCCATGATTTTGCTCGCAAGATCGTCCATTTCCTTCCAGACAGTTCAGGAAAAACTTTCCTTACCCACATACGCCCTTATTCGTCGCAATGGCGATGAGCTTGCGACACACTTTGGGCGATCGATATGTGATCTCTTTATGGAGCAAGATTCCGTCAAGTAATTTACAGACCATAATATATCAGGGTCATGCCGCATGAGTACATAATGCATCATAATCATTCAACGAGCATCTGACCCTATCTATATATTCTATTACTTCTGCTATAACCAATTAGCGCCTCTTTAAGTGAAGTGTCGACATCATTAACACACAACATCGATCACGAAAAGGACAGTACATTAGAGCTTAATTTGATGAATATCGCGCTCTATGACTTTCAACAAGACACTGTAGAAAAACATGAATCTGACATGGACATAGAGGACTTGGACTGCAGCGTAGAATCAATGGCGAAGTATGTAAATCCCGGTTCATTTTGCTAAAGTCCGTGCATTGATAGCACATTGACAGCTAACACCATTACATCCACATTGCTTTGTTAGACCATTGTTAAATTTGAGTATGATGGCACCAGGTGTTACTGATTGCGGAACGGAAGTACTCGTCATAAAACAAGAGCCGTTCCAGCCCGCAGAAGACGTTAATATGGACATCAGCACGGAAATACAGCGAGGGAAGATGCCACTCAACGAACCGTTACTGAATAGTCATGGCAAATTGGACCCATACATCCAAATAGTTGATAAAGTCAAAGATTTAGAACTCCAAAGCGTAGGGCCCAAACAGGACTTTAAGGATAGTGGCCAGGTCGATCTTGAGCAAGGGTCAGATAACGATACTCACAGAGAGGAAAAGGCAAAAACAGAAAGAAGGGTTCTGCGATCACCTCCACCGCCTTCGCCGCCTACATCACGCAAATCTTTTCCGCTCCCACCCCGACCCCCATCACGGCCCATTGATTCATGGCAAGGGAATAAAGGTTATAGAGTTCCTAAAGCTCCTTACTGGAATAACTGGCCTTATGAACAACCAAAACGCCATCCGAGTGGTCGCTATCGCTCACCTCCACCCCCAATACGTATTGCACCAACAAACTATGCTTTAGCGCCAAGATATAAGGATGAACGATCGCCAACCTCAAACATTTGGTGTAAAGATACTTATGAGCGATCTCTTCCATCTCCTCGGGCATATGCTATGCGTCACTCACCATATTCGCGACGATCATATCCTATTCTTCCACCTATTGACCCGCGTGTTGCTCTCTCTACTCCAATGGATCCCCGGCAGAACCGACACGAAACCCATATTGAACCTCATAGTCCTTTTCAAACAGACAGATCTCCAGTACCTCAGAAAAAGAGCAGTGTCCCAAAATCCAAATGAGCCGATGATATAATTATACAGCAATGTCAACAGCAGTTACAGTCCGCTACGAACATTACTAAAAGGAAAGGCCTCATGAAAAGCCTGGATCCATACCAGGTAAAGGCTTACTGTCTCAGTATAAAATCCAATGAAAAATAACTAAAAAAAACCTTAAACGTATTTTCACCAATACTGCCATCATGAAATGCCTACACCTAATATTAACTTCCTGTAAAGGTATTTTGGTGACAAAGTTGTATTAGATATGCAATTAAATTCACTACCATTGGGAATTATTAGTCATAAGCTGGACAACCTCTGGGATCTTGTCCCTATGAATTAGCATCATCCGACGCGCGGGAGCGATACCATAATCTTCGAATGTATTTCTGGATTCTGCAACAGTTGGTGGTGTAGTCAACTTAAAGTCCTGCGTGAATTCGGCGTACTGCTGCAACATCTCTTCCTCAGGGTGGAAGAAGAACGTTACTGGGTCAACCTATATACAAATATTCATATGACAATTGATTGATAGAATGTTGAGAGACTTCTTTATACACATTTGTTTTCCTTCCTTTTTTTTAGTTGTATGACTGTACAATATATGAAATAGTCCTTACCATTTTTGCCTTCTTTCTCGAAGGCTTGGGCGTATCTTCATCGAAATCAGTCTTGGGTGCAACTTCGTGATAAGTCGGGCAGAGAAGAAGGTAGTATTCAAAGTTGAAAGGCAATCCCTATAAAATCATTTGATATTGTTCAATTGGATTATTGTTAGATCACAAAGACTGCTTCCAAACTCTGATCCGTCATGAAGAAAAAAATACATACTCTTTCAACTGCATCTTTAACTTCCTCTAACAACATTCTCCACATAGGAGGAGCTGTTTCAACGGGCATATTGATGAATCTCTCGCTAATGATCAATCCGACTTCCTTACTTGATCCAGCACTTAGTAATTCTTTAAGCTTGACATGCAGCTTCTCGTTCTGCTTAGACTTTGTAAATACATAGTCACGGATCTGAACCATTGCCTGGCTTGGCTTTAATGCTGCTGATGAGGATGAGGAAGAAGTGGCTGCTGATGATGCTGAATCTGAGGAGCCATTGGAGGCTATGGTGATCTTATGAGTATTGTACATATGTTGATTCATATTGAGGACAGTCATGACAGAATATGGATCGGAATCATCCCCGTTAACTTTGATAGTGGTGCCTACACTGGATTGACTCACAATGATGTCTGCCAGCTCAGAAAGGCCAAAAAGGATGGCATCACTAGCAAAAAACTGGCTAAGAAGGTTTTTGACGGCGTGAAAATCGATCTCCTTGGGATTAAAGAACTCGAAATCAACGTTAATAATATCCTATATTAACAATGTGTATTGTGGAATACATGATATGATCAGTAAATCAGCGCGTAAATCATCATCCGTAGATTTTCGTCTGCCTACATCCTGATAACTCTCCGTTGACGTGCTACTTTTTTTTTCTCCTCTTTGGCTTCTGTTCAATATATTTTGTAGTTTTTTTTTTACCTCCATGTCACCATCAGAGCCTGATTCATCCTCGTCATCCTCGCGACTGATCATTTCGACATCTTCCACTACTTTCCGCTTACTCATGGCTAGTTGTAATGTATTGTCCAAGTGATGACTATGGGTTATTCGCCAGAGGAAGAAAAAAAAAAAAAAAAAAAAAAAAGTGGTGGCGCTTTTTCGAGAGAAATGTTTACAAAGTGGTGAGATCACAGTCACAACCTCCATTCCATGGCTGGCCGGAAACAAGAACCCCTTGTTGCATCATTCTTCCATTCGACTAAAACGACATTGTCATGTCCGCTTCAGCAGTAACAGGAGCAGCCAAAGCTGTCGCTACAAAGACCAATCCTGGCACATCCGCTTCTTCTAAGACTGTCTATCTCTTCCGTCATATTCAGACCTCGCAAGTCCTTGTATCACTCAAAAACTCGGTCGAGGTATAGCTTTATACAAACCTAGCAATGAGCCCAACTGTCTATTTTTTATTTGAAAGGGGGAATACCAAAGCACTAGAGCGCTAGGAACAAAAGCACGAGGCCTTTGCAATACGAAATGAGTCAGGAAAAAAGAACAGAAAAGAAAGGCAGAGCATCACCTATCATATAATGGACATGTTGAGGTTGATGTAATCTAGACAACTGGCCTTGGACATATATCGCCGTAGCACATGGGAACGTGTGGCCCACCCTGGACCTGTTGGCTATGAGACACGGATCGTCAAAGATTAGTAGCAGTCCAGTACTAAGAACAACGCTGTTACTGCACTAGAGATACATATCAAAGGCTTCTATTGAACGTAGCCGATTAGGATTGAAGCAGTATGCGTATATCAAACATCTTCCCCCCCCCCCTCCTTCCCCTTCTCAAAAAAGAAAAAGAAAAAAAAGATACATCGAGGATATGTTGATAAAGCATTTTCACTTCTTGATCCAACAATTGTTATCATAGAAACAATCACTCAAGCAAATCACAGATGAGACTCGTCGCCCAGCTCACGTACGCCCAGACCACTGGCATCCCCTTGTCGCTATCCAGGGCTTCGCTCGACACCAAGATGCCCTCGCCTTCCATAATTCTCTTAGGGACCACCAGCTAAACATGCACACAGCCAAGACCTCAAACGAGACACACATGCTCCAGCCTCGCCGTTTGCGTGCTCCACAGGAGATGAAGCAAGTAGATGAGACCCTGGTCAAGATGGTTGAGCTTCTGAATGAGCAACCCCAGATTAAGGCCAACAAGGGCAAGGGTATTCATATTCTTTGGGAAAGAGAAGGCGTCAGAAAACAATTACTTGAAAAGGATGGAGTGTCGCTGTTGGAAGGTATTGAACATGGAGATTTGGTCATCAGGCGGGGAAGGGATATTGTGAATGCGTAATTTTTTATAGTGCGGCACGTATGCAGCATTAGGCACTACTCACTTATACATATCATAGACATTACCATATATAAATAACAACCTCAAACAGCGATTACTTCTTGATTTTGTGTCTCTCGTTAATCAACGGGATCTTTTTTGTTTAATTCTTTCTCTGTTCAGATACTAAAATGACTGAATGAAGCATTCGAGAAGTATGAGTTTCAAAAAAAAAAAAAAAAAAAAAAAAAGCAAACGAAAGAAACTTTGTAATACTCTGCACAGGCGAACGGAAAGCAAGATGGCGCAAGGTAAATTTACTACCATATCAAGCTGATGTTAATAACCTTAGCGAAATTGCCTTTCACTGGCCAAGGGCCATCTGAGGATAACTATTAGTCATTTAAAATGTTTTTGTGTATGGTGTGAAGGCTACCAAGACATCCCTGATCAGGCATTACTCCCTTTTAAACAACGCTGCGAGATAAGGTATGAGAGTCAAGTGGCGGGGATGGTCTTGCAGTTGAGGGGCCTGCATCCATAGAACGTACTTGACTTGAGTCCCCAGAAGGCACTTGAGGGTCTACCAAATCATGTCCTGATCTATCAAATGAGCCCTGGCGAGTCGAACTACGCCATATAGCACTGGTTGGAGTCACGGATGACGTCGCTTGTAAAGCAGGATTTATTGGTACCCCATTAATGCCTACTGGGGCCATAGTGCCCACAGGTGAGCTTTGGTCATACAGGTAGACACGAGCTGGGACAGGAGACGGATAATACACTCCTTCAGGTGATTGTATATAGGGAGTGTATTCATAATTTTGTTGGGCTGTAAATCAATATAATATTCAAACATCATGTCAGTAACAAGAGACGGGATTAACTACTTAGGTGATGATGGTTACGACCATAGATAATTGACTCTTATCGATATTTGTACCCATCTCTTGGCTGGACCCGAATTGATCTGAAGCTATTGACTACAAAAAAAAAAAAAAAAAAAAAAAAAAAGCAGACCAGGATCAATTTGACAACTTCCGCCACAAGGCCTTCATAGCGTGCATCGTCGACAAATAGGTACCTGGTGTCCTGTATGTGTGCTATAAGGAATACCCCTTTGGTAGTAAGTTTGGTTAGTCTCAGGTGTTCTAGTAGGTGCCCGAAGTAGCCCACCCGGCGAGACGTACATGGCCCTAGGTTGCGTCTGGGGTAGGAACCCTGGCCCTGCTATTGGAATCCCTGCTGGAGGGTATGCATAGTATGCGGCATAATACATAGGTCTTCCGCCCCTTGGCCCACGGTAGGGCAAATATGCTCCTCTATATTCAGACGCATTAATGACAGGTGCGGGCATGTTGATGGGAGGGGGTCCAATGGCGTGCGGTGTATTAAGATGCTGTGTTGCCTGAAACGCGGCATTCTGGCGCTGGATACGATACTCGCTTGCTTCTCGGTGCTGGACACGGATCACTGAACCGAAAAATAAGGTATTATGCTAATATCGAGCTCGTTGTGTTATTTAGCATTACACTATCACGCCCATACCCATACTTACATTCAAACAGTCGAGTTTGCGTTTTAATCTCAGTCCACGCGAACAAAAAAAAAAACTTACCTCGTGCTCTATAGCTTGTCTAGCCGCTTGCTCATCCGTGAACTCTATAAATGCAAAGGCAGTAGGCCGATTCGTCCCTGGCTTATTTCTTTTCACAAGATGAACCCGCCGAATACCGCCATATTGCTTAAAGCGCTCATGGAGAGCAGCCTCGGTTGTCAATTCTGGATTCAGTTGACCTACAAACACAGACTCCTTTTCAAATTGGTTTTGTGTGGAAAGATTAGGTGCCCATTCAACTGTCCATCTTGAGTTATTTCGGAGTGACTACAATAACAGAAAACTATATATATCAGCACAAGCGTAGATCTATACTCCATACTCTGGCCGACAATCCTTTATCGCTGTATACCATATATGCTCTAATCGCGTCGTCGCGATACGCAAACTTTGCAAAAGCATATCGTTTGTTTTTCGCGGGCCCCAGGTCCTGGAAGATAGATACGTTTTCAACAGGACCGTATTGCTCCAAAACGTCAATAAGGTCCTAACATACACAAACGACGCAAAACGATTAGTTTAAATTCAAATGTCATCCATATGCTTTAATCAAAGCATAGTAACATTATGCACCGCAATGAGGCACTGATACCTGCTCTGTTGCTGCGCGGCCAAAGCGGAGGAGAAAAAGGGTGCGGTTGACGCGTGCTTGCTCAATCCGAATGTGTCTGCCGTCAATAAGCGTGTTCTGTGCTTCAATCATTGCTCTTTGTGCATCTTGAATATGCTATTATTATTACGTATTAAAAGTCAGGATCAGGTGGAGCATAAGCTCTGACACATTGCACGGCCTTCTTAAGCATTCGATTCAACAAGCATCAGCTTTAGCCGCACCTCAAACTGCACAAACGAATAAGGTCGCTGCATCCAATCCTTAAGAACCTTGACGTTCAATAGCGGCCCCCATCGCTCGAAGTGCTTCGTGACGGACTCCACCAATTGTATATCAGTTCGTGAAGCAGCCAAGCTTTGAAGGTGAAGAGGCGGAGCCTGGCAGTGTTTAAGTTCTTTTTTTTTTTTTTTTTTTTTTTTTTTTTGAAGAAAAAAAAAAAAAAAAAGGTACAGTATCATACAATTATTACCTTGCAACAAAGAGGCATGCCTGTGGTTCGCCTCTTGGCCTCTGCTCTCGGCTGTTCAAATCAGCATTTCCCTGGTCCCAATCGGCCTCGGATCCATTACAGGACCCCTGTTCTGATGCTTGCTCATATGTATCATCTATTATGCGGCCTTGGGACATTCGGTGATACTGAACGTCATCATCGCTATTGACATGATGCGGTGGATGACTGTGATGAGACTGGACAGATTCTTGAGACTTTGATCTGTCCTGTTCCATGGGAGAGACTGTCATGGCTCCACCACTCAGAGCCAGCCGTGCTTGTATCACAAACATTTTTGTGTGGTCAGCATATCAACAGGATAAAATTAGACATGTGTACACGAGGAAGGCGCAGCATTACCCATTTTGCTTCACTTACCAGTGGCTTCGCTCAAGAAATTGTCACTTGCTTCGGAGCGTGGGCATGAGAATCGTCTAGAGAGCTGTGGCCTTCCGCCGTTTCGTTGCATTATTAAGATAGAATCATCGATCGATGCTGCAGTAGGCACAGGGGATGGTGGCGTCGGAGCACGATGTTCCATCGCGGTTTCCACGTTAGCAGTCCTTTTCAGTAACTTCAAGGGTTTGAGAAGAACACCTTTATTCTTAGGTCAGTTTGGTTCTTGAAGATAAAATACATGCGACATTTGTTTCGATGATTTTTAAAACAATAAATAAATAAAATCTATGCAATTCCTGGTCACTGATTAACGCGCAGGACGATTATCATTCATGCAGCCTCTCCGAATTTCCCGCCAAAATAAATGAAACTATTGGGGTAGTACAAAATGGGAAGAGATGTTGCAAAAGTATGTTTTTCCTTACCAAGATGGTTGCTTTGAGAAACAACAAGCAAGCCTATTCGATTCAGTTTTAGCAAGAGAGTGAAAAAGGCGTTTGATCCGTGAGTAAGAAATAGGCCGATAGGCTGATAAAAGACGCACAGAGGAAAGTGAAAGGGAAATAGACTAAATAGACTCGAAGAGTTTTGGCGGCGTAAACAGGAGCGGCAAAATAGTCAGTCGGTAATGCAGTGCAGTACAGTAGCTTGCATATAGCAACTTTATATGCGATGTAATGGCGGAAAAGAAGACAAGAAATGAAGTGAAGAATAGAAGATGAGTTAAGATAGAGAAATGTGAGTAAAAGAAGAAAGAAAAAGGAAGAAAGAAGAACTGACAGGAAAGAAAAGAAAAAGAATTGTAAGAAATTAAAAAAAAAAAAGAAAAGAAAAGAAAAGAAAAGCAGCAATGACAATAATAATATTCATATGAACAGTTATTTCAAGTCATCACAAGCTGCACAAACATCCACGTTACATGCTCCTCATATTCATTTCTAAATGCCAAACACAGCTACATTCTGCGCAGTGCCATGCATTGATATTCGGTAATATTTTATTTCTTCATTCTTTCCTTTTCTAGGCTTTCAAGACCTATATGCATCTTAGTTGAATACATTTCATTCAATCCAATGGTATCATACGCGAAGAGAAGATTGAAAGAGAGAATGAAAGTGAAAGGTTAAAAAATTATCTCCAGCATAGAGAACAAAAAAAGTTTTTTTTTAAAAAAAAAAAAAAAAAAAGAGAGAGAGTGAGAGAATGGAATATATCTCAATAATGAAAATGCTAAACCCCTGCATCGTTCTAGTCTTTTGGGTTCATCTCCGTGATGCGCTATCATGGTGCGTTCTCTTTGGCCTGTTGCCGCACACGCTTCTCGTAACTGACTTTATCCTTCCTATTACGGTGCCAAGTTGTTCATTTTAAACAATCCAAGTTAGTCGATACAAACTGAAACAAGAGCTTCCTAAGCCCATGCAACATTATCCCACTGCTGTTTTTTTCTTTCTTGATGTGACATACTTGAACATAACATATGCTTCAGATTGAGCAGGACTTTCCGGATTTGGATCATTAAGCAAGTCTTGGATACCAAGCAGGATCTAAAACAATAAAATAAAATAGTGGGATCAGTTCCTACTTATTATGCCATTCATTTTATTAGTGTCATCCGATGTTATGGCCATACAATCTAAACATTCTCTTACTGACCTGCTTAATAGTAATAGCGGGCTTCCAGCCTTCTTCTTCATTCAAGATTGACAGACATACAGTCCCTGAAGGATAAACATTTGGATGAAAAAGTGGTGGAACAAATTTACCTATAGTCCGCAATAGCCATTTTAGTTTTTAGGATACAAAACATCTATATTCAATAAACGCAACCCTTGCATGTCTCGATATATAAAAAGCATCCTACACTTTGGAGGCTTGCTAGGATAATCTAATAGCAAAAAGAGAAGGAAAAAAACGGATTAGCTCCTATGCTCAAAATTCAGTGAAAACTGATGGTATGACCACGGCCGTCTCATGAGTTACCTTCTGGGAAAATCAACACAAGCTTGTAGACTCCTCCTTCCCAGGGCGTCTACCCGAATATAATAGTGGAGATACGCTAATCAGTATATCTATCCAAGATTAAGATTACAAATTACAACAAATGCCTCACAAGCTACTTACATTTGCTTTGCCTGGAATGCCGACCTGCCAGTTCATAAGATCCAGAGTGCCATCCTGCTTCTTGTCTGGCCTTGCATAGAAGCCCTATTCAACAACATTCAGGATGTATGGGTATACAGTACAATGTTATGCATATGTATGGATAGAATTCTATTGCATGAACTATGACGTTTTTTAATGCTGTCGTGGTTTCGATGTCAAGATTCTTGCCACGCATCAAGGCTCAATGAAGAGTGATTGCATTTATGAAAATCACCTACAAATGGGTGATCCTTTCGCCATTGTTTCCTTTCCTCAGCGAGACGACTTCTACAGATTCCTGACATGATAAATTGCGCCTTCTAAATTGCTGTGCGTTGATATTTAATCTGATGGATGAAAGAATGAATGTTCACTCAGCACATTTTATCACTTCATTTCGATGGCATTCCCTTCCACTTCCTTGTGGCTGAGACTCGCAGTAAGGATTATGAGGACGCTTCTTTTTTCCATCCATTTTGCTCCCTTGAGTCATCTAGACCAACAGAGGTTGTATACATTACTCATTTACGGCCATGAGCATTATTACAATTATCTCTTACACTTGACAACTCGACTATGAACAGACATTAATGCAGTTGTTTTTCTGTTTTCTGTAGTCTGTGCCTGAACGGCCTATGGTCACGTGCAAACTGAGCCCTGTATTTGCTAGGACGGAATGCAACCTCTCGCCATCTTGATATGATATGAAAGCGTTTGAATGGTAGAATTTCATTTCAGATCGATTTAACTTGATAAATTAATTCATTTGTTTGTCAGCACTGGCCCGAAGCGTGGCAGACAAATATAATCATTATTGTCGTACGTGTACATGTAGCATGAACAGAGGATCTTGGATGTTCCAGTTATTCATCTCTGTCGCGTCAAGAGCTTTTGGCAGTTACGCTTTGCGCTCTGTCTGCAATCCACAATCTGTTTATTCTGATGTCACACCCATTCTCCTCACCCCTATCCTGGAGGCAGCCCTTCTTCATGCGCAAACCATACATGTACTCATAATAAGAATGTTTAAAACACTGTACCTTTGGTGGGACCTGGCTTTATTTATATTTACTTCGTATGTCGTGAGAATGACAGCATCCGGCCATAAGAATACATACTCAATGTATGAATGTACATCGTATCAAAAATACGTAGTAAAGAGATAACATTGTTAAGATACATTGCATTTTTCAACCTGTCGACACCACACATTTTACAAAATTCAGTGTATGTACTCAATTCTTTCTATTAGTGATTCATTAGAAAGAATCATCTTTATTTCCAGTTTCCTCTCATTTCTTAGGCATGAAATAGATAGCAAAAAGTATCTGCAGAAAGGAGTGTGAAAAAAAAAAATAAAATAAAATAAAAAAAACGAAAAGGCGCAATAGCGTTGATTCCATTGATTCGATTCGTTTTGATCTAGAAATCCTATTCCAAAAAAAAATAAATAAAAAAATATTTATATGTATATTTAGACAATGTTGTGTAAACAAATATTGAATATCAAAACATTCATGCCTGCCCTGATTCTGCAACTGAAGCAGTAGAACCGTATGTATCCCATGCACCATGCACTCATACACCTTTCTTTTTTGAACTCTAGTATTCATGTCAATGCAAAGAAAAAAAAAAAAAAAGACCGCATGTTGAAATGTAAGTTTTATTGAGATTGGGTTATAGTTTCCTTTTTTTTTCCACCTAAAGAATACGTAAGTGTACAGGATGAGAGGATGTGAGGTTGAACTGCAACGGGCTAGATTACACGTTAGATCAATTCCCGTGCATTTTAACGTTCAGTCTTCTTACTCAGGAACGGGGAAGCAAATGCTCTTAAATGATTAAAATTTCAATAAATATAAACAGCCTCGTGTGATATGAGATATGAGTGTTGTAATGGCGAAGTTTATACTCCATCGATTGCCAACTGAAATTGTGAAGAGAAAATTTCAGGGGAAACTAATGCATTGACCTGAATGTGCCATGCACATGCATGATCCAAAGGAAAGCTAAGAAAAACTCTATGAGAAACCAAACGAAAAGTCAACGATGCATCTCTCGCCTCCCCGGGAGGCGAGGACCTTTTGGAAAGGGAGACAGAGCAAGAAAAAGGGGAAAGGGAAAAAGTGATGAAAAGAGAAGGGTATCGCCCCGCTGTTCTGGCTCGCAGACTTGGTGATTGAATATTTGGGTATTCATGTACTATACTGCGATACTGCGTGCTGTTTACTTGTTGCTGCTCATTTTTTTCCATTCATTCAACTTCAGTTTTCGAGCCCCCCCAAAGACCCAAAGAACCCCCACTCCTGCGTTTTAATATTTTCTTCATTTCTCCCGAGGAGGCTCTGGTATAGTACCCGTCCGGTCTTTTATAAAACCCTCAACTTCCTCGACAAGGAGATTGGATCTTTTTTATTCTTTCTCCTTCGCTCCTCTTCCTCCCCTCACATCTGTATTCATCCCATCCATTCCATAACCATGGTTGGTCTTCGAGCCTCTCTCGCAGGCCTACTGGTCCTTGCAACAACTGCCTTTGCAGACAGTAAGTTTGTTTTTCTTTCTTTGGCATGAGAATGTCACACGAGCATTCCACACCTGCTCGATTGTGCCCATTCTTTATTCGTTAGAGACTTGATCTGACTTTTTTTTTTTTTTTTTTTTTTTTTTTTTTTTGGTGCAACCTTCAGTCACCTTCAATGTCGTTGGCTATCCCTCAACTGATAACGGCAGTTTTGGAGTGTCGGTTGATGGTAAAATTACAAAGCTCTCCACCAATGACACTACCTTCCCTGTCTGGTCTGGTACCGTTCCAGGAACAACCTCTTCAGTGAATTATCAATACGTCGAGCTCAATGCCGAAGGTACATCCGTCAAGGCCGAAAACTTCACCCGGACACTTCCTAACAGCAACGACACACACACCTATAACGAGTTCTTTGAGCGCAAGACTACTAAGTGGACTCTGCCTCATATCCCTTATGTTTACCTCGCAACTTGGCCATCATACACTAAGGTCTTCAACGAAGATGAGATCGCAACCATCCACGCGACAGCAGACCCTGCTCAGTTAGCTGCATTGGATGCAAATCCAGATTCTCCTGAAATCTTTGTCAATTTCCGCTGGATTGACCACCAGATGATTTACTCTCAGACCAATATCTCATTCAAGACGTCAGGCAAATCCTCTAAGGATTACAAGAAGCAGGCCTACAGGTTTAAATTTGAAACCGATATCGGTCAATCGTTCTTCTCTCGACCCAACATCAAACTGCGCTCAGAAGTAACAGACCCAACCATCATGCGTGAGAAGATCTACATTGATATGCTTAATTCCGTTGGTGTGCCTACGCAGCAGGTAAAAGAAAAAAAATATCAAAGCATCGCTGCCCAACCCCGACAGTACCTTTACATGACAATTTCTAAAATTCGTTTTGCCTATACGATATAATCCAATTGCTTTTAGGGCCAATATGTGAGACTCTTCGTCAACAATAAGCCCCGAGGATTGTATATGATGGTCGAAGATGTAAAGAAGTCTTTCATCAAGCAAACTGTTCACGGCGGTGATGGCAAAATCCCACTCGGTTCTTTGATGCAGGTAACATTGAGCAATTTGGTTTAACATTACTGAAAGGAAAAAAAAAAAAAAAAAAAAAAAAAAAAAAAAAACTTAACCTCTTTTTTTTTGCATATTATTTATATGACTTTTAGAATAGCTCCCCTGCCCGTAATAACCGAGCAGACCTTATCTTCAAGGGAACCAACACTTCAGATTACGACCCTGAAGTTTACGAAAGCATCAACCTGGGCAACAACCCTCCAACGAACCCCATGGCACAACTTATTCAGTTCATGGCTGACCTTAGGGACTTTGATCCTGTCAATACACCTGACCCCGTTGGTTATTGGAACAACACGCGTTTGGATCTTGATGGCTTCCTGCGCAACATGGCCATGGAATACCTCGGAGGCACCTATGACAACTACTGGATGGCTGGTTCTAATTACTTCATTTACTTTAATCCTACACTCGGTACTCAAGGAAAATGGCAGTGGGTCCCTACTGACTTTGATGGCACGTTCGGTAACCGATTCCCAACCAACATCATCTCGCCATATCAAACTGTTTACAGCTTCCAGCCTGATCATCCTTTGGTCTCCAAACTGATCATCAAGAACAAAGAAATCAATGCACTTTTTGAGCAAACACTCAAAGACATCGTTGGTTGGGCCTATAACCCATATGTCCTGTTCCCCCGTATTGCAGCCTATAATCAGATGTTATTGGAAGATTACACATGGGACAGGGCAATTGTTAGAACTGGTCCAGGCAAAGATACTGGCTTCACAGTCGAAGACTTCCACAATAACTTGGAAATAAGGACCAAAGACATGCAGACATCACTCAAGGGTTGGATCGGTGACATGTCTGCGCTTGTTGCTAAGCAACTCAACATTCAATACCAGAACACGACTCAAGACCGTGTACCTCCTCCTCCTAAGCCAACGCCAAAGGGTGATAAGACAGATAAAACCCCTTCTAAGGAACCTACGCCTACCGATACATCTTCAAATGCGGCAATGGCCCAGTTGCCATCGCATAGTGCTCTTGTGGCTATTCTAGTAGCAGCAGTGACCATGATGGGCTATCTGCTCTAAGCAATCTTGTACCTTTTAGTATTTGTTTATATTACCATTGATCATATTTAAATTAAAGAACTCTTACTCATTATAAAAACTTGTTCGGGATCCTCCTGTGCGGGCTATCCCAAGATATGCTTCATCATTTTATGGATGCTGCAAGGAAACCAATACTTTTCTTAATTAGGAGGCCTTGATGTCGTGTTTGAAAGATATGCACTTGTAATTGCGGTAAATCGTGAACATGTTCTTGTTGTCTTGCGTAAGTAGCGTTCAGCTGTTGAGATATTGTGGCAAATGCGTGCGGAACACTCTGATACTCCATTATTAAACAACTCAATAAATTCATGTAAAGTAACCACACTATTCTGTCTTCATGTTTAGAATATAATCGATCCTCAGATCTACAATTCTTCATTTGTTTGAGAGATTGAGAGAAACTTATTGGTGTAGACTAGGATAAATTGTCAGACATTGATTGGATGCCAGCTAATCTTGGTTTGGCGTTATTATAGGTCAGAAACTTCGCACGAATAAAACGACGATCCAGTGAAATCTTTCGCTGCCGTCTTTTCGAGCTCCAGTCGCCATAGGATAGAAAGGGCAGCATTATGATTTCCTGTTGAGTCGGAGGTTCCAATTAAGTCAACTGTAAACGATAATGTTTTGTTTTGTATCTTTCAGGAGTAGGCTACCTACAATAACAACATTGCGGTGAGTTAACTCTTGAACTTTGTCCTTCTCACTATGCTATTTATGAATCTGTGTTCTGAATGGAGAAGTAAAAAAGACAAGAGATCAGTAATCAAAAAAGAAAAACCAATGAACTCAGGGTGTTTTGTCGTGGCTCCAGGTCACTTGTTGCACTGTATTGAACATGAGTCGCGATATTGACCTAAAGTAGCTCTCAGATAAAGCAAATGGCAACGAGCTGATCGTCGTGGGGAAGTCTATGATTCTCACAAAGTTGGAGTCAATCTGTTATTTGGATGTGACCCCTCCATCAAATGCCGTTGCAACCGAACGGGTGCAAGCTATAATGAATTTATTTGGAGAGGTCTATAGTTTGGTAACAAGATATCTTATTGTATTTTCATACGTTTAGCCATATGTGGCAATGCAGACAATAGGAGGAGCCATTGTGGACAGAGCCATAAAAGCTACATGACCGCACGACAACTGGCGTCTCAGGGCCTTGACGCGTGTGTTTTTTGTCGAATTGACCAGCCACTTTGATTTTTGCAAAAGGTTTTTGAGCATTGCTCTTCGCTCAGCTACATGTTATTCTTCCGGACAGTAAACCGATTGCAGTCTTTCACCAGCCCATTTAAGCACATTCATTCCTCATTTTCTTGTCTACGCTTCTCCACCTCCCCTCCTACCATGACCTCATTGATCGAACAAGCAAAGCAAAAGGCTGCTTACCAGGCTGTGGATGAACACGTCCTACCTTCGCATAAAGTGATCGGTGTTGGCTCTGGATCAACTGTTGTCCATGTCGTGGCTCGTCTGTTGCAACGTGATCCAGAACTTAATGCTAGAACTGTCTTTATCCCAACTTCATTCCAATCTCGTGGATTGCTCTTGGATGGAGGGCTTAATGTCGGTGACGTGGAACAGTAAGGATTCAGTCCTCCTTTTTTTATTTTTTAAAAAAACTTGATTTTGAAACAATTCTTCATTAAATAGGTATCCTAATATTGACGTGACTATTGATGGTGCCGATGAAGTTGATTCGCAGTTGAACGCAATCAAAGGCGGTGGAGGTGCCCACCTTCAAGAGAAGGTAGTTGCTGAGGCTGCCAGCAAGTTTGTTATCGTTGCTGATTTCCGTAAGGACTCCAAGATCCTTGGAGAACAAGTTAGGTTTTTTTTTTTTTTTTTTTTTTTCTCAAGTTACATACTAGTCCATATAAGGTCGATCTATGCGCTTGTATCTACGTTGTCATCATTACCCTACTATGTCTAAAAAAGACAGCAATTCTTTCCTTTCCTTTCCTTTTCCTCGGTGCTAATGTGAATATCTTTGAATCAATAGTGGATCAAAGGTGTCCCAGTTGAGGTTGTTCCTTTTGCTTGGAGAGCTGTTCTCAAGAAACTACAGGGTCTGGGTTCCAAGGAAGCCATGCTCCGCATGGCGGTGGCAAAAGCTGGACCTGTTGTAACAGATAATGGCAACTTTTTGATTGACGCACCCTTTGGTCTCATCCGTGATCCTGCCAAGCTTTTGACCGATATTAAGCTTATCACAGGGGTAGTTGAAGTCGGTTTGTTTTGCAACATGGCTCAGGTTGCCTACTTTGGCTGCGAAGATGGATCTGTCACCATTAGGACAAAGTAAAAAGAGAAACCGCGACCGTGCAGTGGCAGGAAGGAGAAAAAGTTTGCATGAATATTTATCATCACGTTCACCATCGCATTATAGCAGTTTAAAATAAAACAAAGTACGCGTAAGAGCGTCTATGGTTCTGTCTACGGAACTACATTGTCCTTCCAATATTGTAATTGAACACATGCTAATAAGTTATACTGGAAATGCTTATCATTGTCATCCACGCACGTGCGTAGCTATATTTACTGCTTGGTGCGGTACATGTGGACCATTGCCACTCAAATTGAAGTTGCTCTCATAAAAAAAACTGTCGTTAACAACATGAGCAAATTAGCGGGCTGAATAGAAACTGAAACTGTTCTCTTAATGGGAACAATTGACTCAAGAGCCCTATTATGATTTTCTCCAAACGGAAAAATTTCCAACAAGACGGGATATGGCACAATCCTTGCCGCAAAGACAGCCTAACTCTTTATTTCCTAACATTAAGAAGGAGAGGAGTGCGGGAAGTTGGATGATCCAACAGATGAGGTGCTTTTTTTTTCTTTTTTCATGTGCCTGGATTTGTTCCTGAAAAAATAGCGCCTTTTGAATCCTATCCAATGTTCCTCTTTACCTGCCTTTGGTCTCTCTCTCTCTTTTTCTTATCCCGTATTATAGCTGCATGATAAACTTGCACGGATGCCAATATCGATGTGATGATGATGAAATGGATTTGTTTTTATAATATGGGCACCAATGCTACTTCAAAAGAAGGAAAAGAAGAAAAAGAAAGTAGAACCGATTCATTTCAGTCTTACGCCTGAACGCCGCATGGGCTCAAACAGCGTTTCTCAATAAGGCAGAGAGGGAAAATAAGTCCTTGGTCTAGTCGTGTCCATCTGAACATTTCTCCAAACTAAAAACTCAAATAAGTGAATCCAATCCATAAGAGGAGGACCATGTAAACCCAAAAATATTTGTCGCAACGGCTATATTAAGCATAATTTACTAAATTTGTTTTGCAAGTCAGGGTCGTGGAAGGGGAACAAACAAAGCATCCCTGTCCGGAAAAAAGCCTTGGCCCACATTGGCAAAGCAAACAACAAGAGGTATGGACAAATTCAAACGGACAACGGCATGGATAGATAAATAAGGGGGAGAAAGAGAAGGAAGATGGAAATACTCGTCCCTGATGAAGCAAATGGAAATAACATCTGAGATCTATCGAATGTTTTTGCATTGACGACATGTATTGAACAATTTGGTCTTTTTTTGGAATGTGTATCTTTTTGTAATGACGGTAGTGGACCCGTTTTTATAAATGTGCCATCCAGCAGGTTTTCTTTTTCTTTTTTTTTCTTTTTTTCAACAGCCCGACCCTCTTCTTTATTTAATTCTCAATCTCTTCTTCTTTCTTTCTTTCATCCTTTCTTTTCTTTCCCATCCGGTGGTCTGTTTATCCCTTCCCTGGCCTTAAATTTTTTACCTCTACCTTCACCATGGTCCGCATTCTTTTAGGCCTGGCCACTTTGGCATCTATGGCCTATGCTGACAGTAAGTATAGTGAATCCTTCATATTGCGGCCACTCCCTCCAATAAAAAATCAGGAAACCATGCAGAAAACCCGAGATTCATAAATACACATCCCATATAACGAGCCGTTCGTACGACCCTGTGACAACTGCCTCTTTCCTTTATCTTATCCATAACACTGTTGTTCCGTTCTGCTTGCTCTGCCATTGTGCAGCTACTGCTTCCTTTTCATTATTCGTTTAATATTACTCCTTTCATAAAAATAGTCCTAATTCTTGAAGAATTGAAGGATGATTAATGCTACTGTCTTATTCTCTCTCCGAAGTATTTGTTCATACAAGGCTTCAGGGCCGCCTTTTCTCTCTACTCAGCCTTTTTTTTTATATGTCTATCAGTCGTCAATTGACATACACTGACCCCTTCCAACTGTGTCAAATTATTGAATTCCGAAAGTGAGGGCATTGAAGAGAGGATAGCAAGCACTATTCATGTATTAAACAAAAAGATGGCTCTACAGCATGCAACAGATGAATGATAATCGTGTGGAGTGTAGAGTGTGGAGTGTGGAGTGTGGAATGTGAAGTGTGGTCTTTTATTGTTCTATTATTGTTCCCCGTTCCACATTCCACTATTTAACTAATCACTTCTTTCTGTTATTGGAACACCATAATACGCACTCATTAGTCACTTTTAATTGTATCGGCTATCCTTCCAGTGCCAATGGAGCCTTCGGTGTCTCTGTTGGTGGTAGTATTACCAAGCTTTCCTCAAACGAAACCATGTTCCCCGTATGGAGTGGCGCAGTCCCGGGAACGACTGGTTCTGTCGAATACTCATATGTGGAGCTCGACGCGGCAGGAGCACCTGTCAAAACTGAAACGTTCACTCGCAAGCTTAACCAGACAACTGACACTCATACAGATAACGAATTCTTTGATCGGCCTGTCACTCGACATGAGATCGTCCGTCTGCCATACACCTATTTGGCTACTTATCCTTCTAAGACCAAGGCTTTCAAAGAGAACCAGATCGCAACCCTTCATCTCACTGCACCTGTTGCCGATGTAAACGCTATGAACTCTCAACCCGAAGCTGAGAAGGATGTCAAGGTCACTTTCCGCTTTATCAACGCCAAGACTGTCTACACCCAAACTAATATCACGCTCAACACCTCAGGAAAGTCCTCCAAGGAATTTGCCAAGCAGTCATACAAACTCAAATTCGACACTGAGTATGGTCAGTCCTTCTTCTCGCGCCCTAATATCAAGCTGCGTTCCATGGCCACAGAGCCAACCTTGATGCGTGAGAAACTGTACATTGACATGCTCAACTCGGTTGGTGTTCCGACTCAGCAAGGATCGTATGTTCGTCTCTTTATCAACAACGAGCCTTATGGTCTATACCTGATGGTTGATGATATCAAAAAGTCGTTTATCAAGCAGACCATCTATGGCGGCGACAATGCCACTTCTCCTGGCTCATTGGTTCAAATGAATGCACCCATGTTGGACCAGCAGGCTGACCTCGTCTACAAGGGACCTACTGGTGCTTCGTATAACAGGGAAACCTATATCTCTCAGAATTTGGGCAAAAACACTGAAGCAGAGCCTCTTGGGCAGTTAATCGCCTTCATGTCCGACTTGCAGGCTTACGATCCTGCAAAGACGGCTGATCCTGTCGATTACTGGACTTCTCGCCTGGATTTGGATGGATTTTTGCGTAACATGGCCTTGGAGTACTTGATGGGAGCTTTTGATAACTACTGGATGGCCGGTTCCAACTATTTTATGTACTTCAACCCCAAGCTCGGCAATGGCGGTAAGTGGCAATGGATTCCCACGGACTTTGACGGCACATTTGGCAACGGCGCTTCGATTGATCCTGCTGGCTCGTACAAGACCTTGTTCAATTTCCAACCTGATCATCCCTTGGTCTCCAAGCTCATCATCAATACTCCTCAGATCAACGCTCAATTCCAGCAGGTCTTGAAGGAGATTGTCAGCACAGCTTTCAAGCCTGAAGCCATGAACCTACACATTGATTCCGTCCACAAAATGATTTCACTTGACGCTCAATGGGACTTTGGTCTGACCCGTCACTCACCTGGCAAAGACCTCAAGTTTACATTTGAGGACTTTAACAACAATCTTGTGAATGTTACCAAGGAAATGAGTGGAGCGATCAAGCCCTGGATTGCCAGTCGTGCCTCTGCAATCTCAACTGAATTGGGCTTCACCATCCCTGCTGGAACGGCTGACCGTGTTGCTCCTCCTCCCCGTAACAAGAATGGCAAAGATGATGATGACGATGATGTTGACAACTCCACGGGTAACAACGGAGCTGGCTCCTTGGCAGCCACTGGTTTGTCTGCTCTAACCATCGTTGCATCCATCTTGATGCTCTTGGCTTAAAAATAAGAAAAGGTCGTTTGGCATTTGGTTTGTAAAAGACCCTATTCACCTAGCACATGTCCTAATAGTCAAAAAAAAAAAAAAAAAAAAAAAAAAAGTTAACGACCTTGCTTAGCATTTTCTTTTCATCATTCCATACCATATACATAATCCTCAATATAATAAAGAAATGTTGTGTTACCTTCCTGCATTCATGTAGGCAGCTCACCTATTGGATTTTTTTTTAAAAAAAAGCATTAAATTCATCTATTGAAGGTTTTAGGGTGTATGTCAAGTGTCACGTATTTTTTTAATTTTAATGACGTGAGATTAATCAATGTATCCTGTCAACAACATCATATGCGAGTCATCTTGGCATGCAAGTTAATAAAAACACTGATTGATACCTTAAACACTTTAAGCATCTGCAGGGTGAGCTGTAGTATCATCATGACGTGCAAAGACTTGTTCCTGGACTAATAGAATTTGCGCGTGCCTTAGAGAACTATAAAAAGGGGGGTTATTTATTCTTCAACCGCCCATCAAGCATCAAAAATATCGTAAAATCACACCTCCCTTTTCATCCATCCCTTTAACTCTCGTTCAACACACTCCTGGCCTGTATATTTCTTGGAACACCATGTGTAGCACTATTGAATTCGTCGCCTTTGACGCCCTTATTGTCGTCGGAGTCATCCTCCTCATTGTCTGGATCCTCGCTCTTTGTGGTATCTTTACCATTGGTACGTTATTTCCTAATGTCAACACCGTCATTCTGTATCTTCTTGGACCCACCACCATCATCAATCTAATTCGTCCCTTTTTTTTTTTTTTTTTTTTTCTTTTTTTAATGGTATTAATGGTATCGTCTAGGCACTGGTCCATTGGAGCACCTGTTCATCGTCTTAGCCATCATCTTTATTATCGCTTGGCTCTTCACACGCTTCTACTACGGTGGTCGTCGCTGGGGATATGGCCGTCGAACAATTGTTTAAATTCTTTATCACCATACCCATCAGGAATTTTTTTGATAATAGTAATCTGTAAAATAAAATTTTATTTCTGTTAAGCTTTCAGTGACCAGGTAATGCGCTCACAAAGATGGGTTGTATTCTCTTTTTGGGCTTGTCCATTCCATTGCTATTAGTGCTATTGCTGATGCTGGCGTTGGCGCTATCAAATGGAATAGTTGTGGAAGCCTGGGCTACTGTTGCTGGGGGTACCGATCCAGGAAGCGGACTTATAAACGTGGGTTGAATTCTTCTCTTCTTTGGTGCTGGCTGCTCGTTGGCAGGTGTCATGATTAAATCACCATCTCTTTCGGTCTTGGTGGCCGTCTTGGCTACTAAATTTGGTGGTGATGCTATCGATGATAATGAACATGATGTAGATGGTGTGGTAGTGGTAGTCGCAGCTGTTGTTGACAAGGTTGGAGGATTTGATGGTGCAGCCGATGACTGTGAGCTGGTTGCGCTCCGTGACTTTGAAAACATCTGCTTCACAGATGCTCTCTTTCCTGAGTTCAACACCTTCTCTTGCTTTGCCTTTGCCTTCTGTTGATCTTTTTGATCCTTTTGTTCCTTCTGGTCCTTTTGGTCTTTTTGATCCATCTGCTCCCTATGCTCAGCAAGCGATAAACCATTTAATTTTTGTAACATTCCAGCAGAGGCTGCAATGGTAGCAGCGGTGTCGTTAATATCATTCAAAGTCAATGGAGTATCTCCACCTAATGATAAGAAGGGCATCATGGACTTGGGTGGCGTGTATATGGTTCCCAGCTCTCCTTCTTCGAAGGAGATGATCGAACAGAACCCATCAGAAGATGTCAAGATTAAATCGCATCCATCTGTAGACCACGCCATGTCTGTAAATGTTGCATAATGAATATGCGAAATGAAAGCAAGAGGGGTCGTCTGCTGGGTATCGTAGATTAAAATCGTGTCTTGCGTTGCTACTGCATAGATAGAGCGATATCTGAGGCCGAATACACTAGGGGGCAGAGCCAGCCCTTGTTTATCCTGTGTTGATGATGTTGTACTGTTGACTAGATTGGCGGGTCGTCGGCTATAAGCACTCCCTTGGCTTGGAGGCAAAAGCTGTTGCCGGAGTTCATACAGCACCGGGCTACACCTGATAGCTACTGAAGGTTTTTTTTGTCCAGGAAGGTGAGCAACAGGGCCCCTATAAATCAACATAGCAGTTACAAAAAAAAAAAAAAAAAAAAAAAAAAAATTAAATTTGGAAACATCTATGGACAATTTCCTGGCTTCATGACTCCTTACGCACATGGTGGTCATTGGACGTACTTGCTGAGGTCTCTCCTCGCATATACATAAACAGTATTCTTGGTTTCCAATTCAGGGACTTGAGTCGTTGGCGAAGCGTCATCATCCTTAGTGGTGGCAGGTCTGTTAACCGGGGCTTTGTATAGCCCAGCAGGAGTCAAAAGCATTGATCCATCTGGAGTGAATGTAAGCCTTCTAAAAAACGATGTCAAGGTCTCATCATGATAAAGTTTAAAAGTTTTTGGAATAGACCTTGTAGGTCTCGAAGCCGTGTCATCCTTCTCGCCAACTGAATCTGTAGCGGCATCAACCTTGTTCACAGTGTCCTTATTGCGAGGTACTGGCGATGCGGTTGTTGTGGTAGCCGGTGGCTGTGGGATTGAACGAAGCTTGACGAGATCCAACTTTGTACTCTTTCCTAAATTGTTGACTGAAACATTTCCATTTTTCTCAATTTTAAAAGCATAGATATGAACAGAGCTACAAGCGATGATAATAAATGTCAATTGTGGGCGGTTCCCGCATCATAATGCATGAAGTTAACGGATAATGAATTGATCTACTGCATGACTCCTGATTCACATACCGATCGCTGCTTTGAGTAGCCACGAACTCTCCTAATGGGTCCCAAGCAACTCCTTGCACATAGTGATGGTGGTCCGCAATGACATGGATGCATTTGGCTAAAGACAAATAAGTATACAAAAATATATTATCCTACATTAGATGCTCTGAACATGATTCTACATTATGAACAACGCTTTTCACTTGTTGCTTACCATCCTTGACATCCCATATCCGAGCAGTGTTGTCAATTGATCCCGAGATAATGTAACGACCATCAGGCGACCAAGCTAAATCATAAATATCTGAGAGAGAGCCTCTCATCATGGATTGTACACGCCATGTTTCATGCTCGTATTCATCGTCATCCGATTCGCCGAATCTGCTTGCAGTATCTTTAGTGTCTGTTGGTCTCCATAAAATTATGTTTCCGTCTATTTGCATAATTGACAAGGAGGCGCCATTGATCGTGTACGCAGTATTAGTGATATGAATAGTCTTGGCGAAGAAGATCATGTACCGTGCAGCTCGTTACAAATTTGTCGCACCATCTCCTGCAGATGCAAGGCATTCGGCTAGAGAATCAGGATAGCATACTATGAGTTAGCGATACCGTGAAAAACCACATATCAAAAACTATAAAAGGTCACATATATATTAGGTACCTGTCGGTGAGAACCGAACAACATTCACAGCAGCTGTATGACGATTCAGACTTGATAAAAACTCAACATGTATGCTATCCTTTTCCTTGTCCTTGACAACGCGCCAGAGCTAATATGTACTCACGATAAATACGAGAGATTGGACAAAGTAAGCTTCAAAACCCGAGTTCAATGGAGCAATAGAGGACAACCCGTAATATGTTTTTTTTAAAAAAAAAAAAAAAAAAAAAAAAAAAGTAAAATAGCAATATATCACTAGTCGATCATTACCCGCACGTTTCCATCACCTCCTGCTGTGGCTAGTCTGCCTTTTGGGCCTAATTCGAAATGAGCCGAATATATAGGCTGCTTGTCATGCCAATGGATTTGTAGCGGCTACTCATTTGAATTGAAGACGAAACATCAGATTTCGAGTAATAAAAAAGGAAATGACAACATTAAGAAGAATAGTAAATAGGTATTTGTTGTACCTTGACCCTCATTGCTTTAGTCAACACTCTCGGTCGTCAAATTGTGTAGAACAACAGAATGAAAAAGAAAAAACGATGAAAATGACCCAGTGCTTTTTAAATTATCAAACGCAGTCTTTCGTTTGTTATGATTTTTGGTGGCAAAAACGCGTTGTTGTAAAGTAATTTTTTTATTACGCCAATTTATGAGTCTCATGGACTGCGAGCATTAGCATTGGCGCCACTGCTGTTATTACTCGCTGCATTTGAATTGCTCTCTCGAATTAAAAATGATGCCCACATATCAAAGAAGCTCTATGGTATTTAAAATAGCGGTTGAAGTAATAAAACATAATTGAACATCATGTGTCACTGTCTTCATCAACCAATATCAATATCAATCTCGGAATAAGATCTTTAAAACAAAGATTAATTACCTCTTTAGGCTCTTGATGTTGCCTCATCTGCTCCATTGAGGGCGAGCGAGACCCAGATGTAGTTGGTGTCATGGCACCCAAGCTGCTGCCAGCCTTCCTGATCAGACCTGCTTGCTCGCGCTGCTCGTCTGTGAATTTGAGAACACCTGAGATTAGTTGTAGGATCTCAAACCGCTTCTGGTCCCCCCGGGGTATGTTCAAGAAGCTGATAAACAGATTCGAAATGAGCGGGCTAAAAAAAAAAAAAAAAAAAAAGGATAGGACAGAGACGATTACTTATTTAGTCATAGAGTATCAAGCCCAAGGTACCCCTCAATTATAATAAAAGATCTTGCACGCACATGTCGACCGTATTTTGGTTGCTCTCTTCCCTCAGTCGGCGCATAGCCTCGGTTAAATGTTCTTGTTGGATCACGGCATCGTGGCGAAGCTTTCCTATCGTCAGATTTTTCTCCTTGACTTCCCGCTCCAGTTGTCTCACTCTTTCAACATCAAGACTCATATGCTGTAATTGCTCCTAATATTTAGAAATTCCATCGTGCGTCGAGAGTAAGCTATTTATGTTGCTGGCTTATTACAAAATTATGAGGAAACATGCTGTCTAGGAAGAATAAATTAGTTTTGCTATTACCTCTGCGGCCTGAGCACGGCCCTTATACTCATCTAATGTTCTGTTTGATGAATTTAGTTGCACTTGCAGCCGCTCAAGCGCAAACTGGATTTCTGATTCCTTAGAAGCCTGCAGCTCCTCCATCGCCATCTGCAGATTGTCGATACTTCTGAGCTGACGATCAAGTTCCTGGCGAATCGCCTCACTTTCTGTACGGGCAGCATCACGTTCGCGTTCCATTGCTCTCATGGCCATGATAGCCTGGTCTTTGCTTGCTCTCTGCTCCGAAGCCATTGTCTCCCAGTCCTCACGCTCGCGCTCTTCACGCTGCAGCCGAGATTGAAGTTCTTGGATCAAGTTTTCTTTCTCGACTACTTCAGCAAATGCATCTTCTTTGATGTCAACCATGTGTCGCCGAAGATGCTCAAGCTCCCGTGATGTCTTTTCATAATGCTCATGAGATGCCATAAGCTCCTCTTCAAGTTGCTTAATGGTTTGGATGTAGCTATTATTCTGGGCGGTAAGCTGCTCGATTTGCTGTCGTAACGTATTGATATTCTCCTGCCAAAAAAAAAAAAAAAAAAAAAAAAAATACATGAATGCGGGTATGCGATGTACGGAGGCAGCATTCAAGCACTGAAAAGAATGGTAAATAGATATTCGTACCATATCAGCCTGCAACTTCGTTCCGAGAGTTGATTTCATGTTAGAAACACGATCTAAAAGAGCCCTGTGCTGAGACTGAAAGTGGTTACGCTCGTTGACTGTCTTCTGCAGATCTTCTTTGAGAGCATTGAGTTGCTGCTCGTTAATTGAAATTGACTGCTGGAGCTCTTGGATGATCTTTTCTCTTTCCTTCAAAGACGCTTCAGCTGCTGCATCTACTTCCTGAAGCTTCGTCTTCAAAGTCTCTAGCTCTTCCTTTATTGCATCCTGATTCACCAAAAGTTCTCTTTTCTCATTTTCATACTGCTCCTTGAGCTTAATGTCCTCAACCCCTTTAATTGACGATTCGGTAGCTTTGCGCTCTTGATTATACTTCTTTTTCAACTCCTCAAGCTCCTGTTTCAATTGGTCATGACTCGACACTAATGCAAGTTTTTCCTTCATGAATTGGTCAGCTAATTCCTTTTTGTTTGCTTCTTCAGCCAGTTTTAGAGCATTAAGCTGTGTATCTAGTTGTGCGATTGAGTCTAGCATTTCAATTGGAGCAGATAAACGATAAGTATATGTACAGACACAGACTAATTTAAACACTATATGTTAAATACTTACCTGTCATGAACGCTTCCCTCTTTTCCAAAGCTACATTGACTTCCTTTGAGGCCGAGAGCCGACTCTGTACCTCAGCATATTTTGTTTGAGTCTTCACCAGTTCTGATTGTGTTTTTGAAAGTGCATTTTGAAGGTCCTTCTGACTAGTCTTCAAAGACGTGAGCTCTGTTAATTGCTCAGATCCCTTGTCCAGACGAGCTTCAAGTTTTGTGATGGTAGACCTGGCGATCATAAGTTCCTCGGTAAGGGCTGTTGAAGATATTTGAGATTGTTGTGACTCTTGAGTCGTATCGCTCTGGCTGACAAGCTTATTGTTGTTCTCCCTTAAACGCGCAATCTCCACCTTGGCCTGCTCAAGCTCGTCTTTTGTCATCTGCAGCTGAATGGCAATGTCTATCTGTTTATCACTGCCTGCTTGTTGATGTGCTAACTGCTCCTTGAGATCCTTGTTAAGCTCAATAAGTTCTGAAATCTGGTCCTTCAAAGCTTGAGAGGACTTGAAATTCTGCTCATCTTTTTCCCGTAGCTCATCTTCAAGATTCTTGATTTTCTCTGCTGTTGCCGCTACTGCCGCTACTGCTGCACTATCATTAGTGCTGGCATTGGGTGGACCATTGTTTGTTACATCCTCATGAGCCGTTACTTCTGCTGTTTTTTCATTTAATGCTGCTTTTGCTTGTTCTGCTGTCACTGCTGCTTCTTGTGCTGCTACCTCTGCTTGACTTTTTTCCTCCTTTAGAGTCTCGATCATTGCTTTGAGACTCTCCTTTTCATTGTTCAAGGACCTGAGCAAATCCGCTGCACGGCTAAGCTTCTGCTCCAAATGCTCCACCCTCTGTGCAGTAGCATTCCCTTCAGTCAAACTACTTAATCGAGCCTCATAGTTTTGTCTAGCAAGTTCCCATTCCTGATGCCTCTCAAAGAGCTCTTCACGAGTGTCTTTCAGCTAGGATAAGAGTGAACATGAGCAATGACTTAGCAACAAGAGCATATACCTCCTTTTTCAAGAGATATATAGGCCATAGTCTCCCAAGCACATTTAGAACCATATCCTTCATTCTCACCTCCTGCATGAGCTGCTGTAATGTCTCATTAGATGCTTGCTGGTTGTCTCCACTGGCCTCTATCAATGAATGATGATATAGTTGGGAAGATGTTCATTCATATTGTCTGCTTTGTCGTGCGGTTCGTCTTCTACTTGTAGTGCTTACCAGCAGCGACCTTACTGGCCAGGGTGCTCACATTCTTTGCCAACCAGGACATTGACACAGACGCAGATGTGAGTTATATGGATGTATAAAGATTATTGCTGGTTATTATTTGAAATGAACTGTATGTTTTAGATGCTTAATGAAAAAGGTAGTGTAACACAACTGGTACGGCTTGAATGATGACTATTGGCAGGAATAGAGAGAGAAATGGAAAAGTCAAGGAGAAGCACGCGTTTTGACACTTTGTCTTTTGCCTCCCAAACAATCCAGGCCAACTAAAGAAATACCACGTTGCATCACGTGAAAATAGTTTCCCTAGAGCCCGCCCCCACAGCCCGGGTCATCAAGGAGTTTCTACAAAAGATGCACTGTAAGCATATAGCCTTGGTACAGGTGGAAATAGCCCTCATCAAGCTCTTTCGCGTTGGTCAATGGGACATGGGTCCAAGGCTCTAGAGTTGGGCGAGGAGGACGATATTGTGGGCCGTACTCTTACGAATATAAAGGTAATTGGCCATGGAAACTGAAGGTACGAATGAAAGCTCTAGGACGCTCTGGATTCCATTGAAGCAGTTTTTCCTCGCTGAGAGGCCCAGGGGCTTGGGAGTGAACAGCCATATTAACGTTACAATGTGTGGAGTCTGTCCTGACATTAACATTAATATAGAACCCTTTTACTTTCAGGGAAAGAGTAAGGTTTATCGCGCTATGTCGGTGTAAAAATATGTAGAACTGGCCAAATGGCTTTGAGCATTATAATTTACACGCGAGCCTCAACAAGAGGAGTATTTTGTTCTTATTGTTAAAGGAGTTCATTTATGAAAAAACATGTTCGTGAAGGATTCTTTTTTATTCACCTAAAATGGGTCTCACAAATTTCATTAAAAGAGTTCCTGTTGGATAGACTACAACTCTTCCTGGCTATAACAACATAAATACCCTAGAGTGCTTGTACAGGAGCTATTCTTTATCCCCAGTGGCATTCGGTTAGCCCCTTGCCTCTTTTCACCTCAAGTTTTACATCGTTTCTAAGGCTTCGGTTGAACTAAACGAAAATTTGTATGGAAATAATGGCTTATTCTAACAGTCTGGGGAATAAAATTTTAGTCCACAGGCGGAGACATTAGGACATTTTCCTTCTCTTTCTTTCCTTCTATTCACTGCACTACCCACTGCACATGTGGCGGACTGTGCTCCCCCGTCCTGCTCCTTTTGCTCGCTGTTATTCTCTTCGGTCTGACAAGATCCAGGCTGTTGTTCAACAGCGCAAGCATGCATTCGAGAAGGATCGGGTAAATTCACTCTCAATCTCTTTTTTTTGAAACTAACATCTTGACAAATCCAGTTTTTCAGATTCCATGACTCAAAAACTTAAATCCCTATAGGACCTGATCCTCAAGGTCATGGGTACCCTCCCTTCACCTCGAGAGGCTCGCCAGTTCCTCTCTAGGTTCACCTTACCTGCCCCAGTCCAGAAAACATCATTGACTTCTTCAACCCACCTTGCTGTGTCAGGTACAGACTCATCTCCTAGCTCCAACAAAACCTTTGTCGACTCGCTCCTTTGGCCCACAGACCATGTTGCTCTCATCAAACTTGAGGGGCCGTTTGAGCACGATAATCTGATAGCAATTGCCAACACCCTTGTGCAATTACAACGACTCGGCCTCATGAGTGTAGTTATGTTAGATAATCAAACTTGGTGGCGACATCAAAGCCCGCATCTAAATGACGCGTTGGTGTCTGGATCTGATCAATCCGCCGAAATACGCAGGCGGATGATGAATGATATGGCTGATGTCGTAGAGGAGATCGAAAGGTCCGGCGGCCGTGCGCGGCCCATATATGACGGCGTTTTTGAGGATGCGAAAACTTCGCCGCAGCAGTCCCATGTTATTTCGGAACGGATAGTAGTAGCCGACACCGCTGTGGATCACGTTTTAATCCGACCTGGCTCACGAATAATAGAATCGTGTCTGAAGTTAAGACAAATACCCGTTATGATCCCCATGGCCACGACTGCTCATTCGCATCGGCTACCGGTTCAGAGCAACAAAGCTCTTGTAGCTCTTGCCAAATATATGGGTAGCACTGTCAACGAGGCATCTCAGGGGGCGGGTCACGGTTCCTTGGTTCCAATGCGACTCATTGTGATCAACACAAGTGGAGGCTTCCCTCTGACCCGTGCCAAAGGCATTAGTGGCCCTACTCACTGCTTTGTAAACCTGAAGGATGAATACGATGCCATCACGGATGATTTGGCCAACATGAACCACATCCCAGAGGAATTGGCTAAATCCTATCGATCAGATTTGGATATGATCCGGGATTGTTTGGCATACTTGCCTCCTTCATGTTCGGCTCTGGTCACTTCTTCTCCATCACTTACACTCATCACCAACCTCATCACGGACAAGCCTTTATTTTCCTCGACTATGAGAGGACAGGACCCTAAAGTCATGCTTGCCACGACTGTATTACGTAATGGACTGGATATTTTTACGTTTCAGAATAATCTTCAAGGCATGGATCTGAAAAGGCTCCAAAGCTTGTTAGAGACAAGCTTCGGCAAGTCTTTAGACGCAGATGGATTCTATGCTCGCATTCAGGACAGGATAGAGGCAGTGATATTGGCTGGAGAGGACTATATGGGTGCAGCAATTGTGACAAGGGAAGGTGGCGATGTATCGGGAAAGGGTGAAAAGACAGAGACGCATACCTTGGCTAGTGTGGCCTATTTGGACAAGTTTTCTGTTGCTCCTAAGAGTCAAGGAATTGGCGTGGCCGACATTTTATGGAAGAAGCTAACGGACCAATTTCCAGACCTTGTTTGGCGTAGTCGATCCGACAATCCTGTCAACAAATGGTATGCTGTGATTCGTTTTAATCGCCTTGTATTTATATATATCATAATACCTATTTATTTTTGCTCCCAATGATGATTAGGTATTTTGACCGTGCAGATGGTCATATCAAAATCCCAGGTACCAATTGGACCGTTTTTTGGTATGGACCAAAGGGCTTAGGGTTGATGTCCGACTATATTGAGATTTGCCGCGGTATTCCAGCATCATTTCTCCCAAAACCTCTTCTGGAGATACAAAAGTAAAATATCAATATCGAATTTTATTGTTAATTAGGTTATGATTAGTCTATGCTACAATGGGAAAATGAAAAAAAAAAAAAAAAAAAAAATTCTTGTTCAGGACTCGCTTGCAGCCTTGACGATCCTGAAGATCCAGCTTGGATGTAGCATAAATTCTCCGTGCTCCATTTCCTCCACCATCACTAGCTCACCCTCTTCTCGACCTTCCACGAGACCAACTTGGGTCCGAAGATATTCTGCAACTTTGTCCATATCTAGGAGGCTATCTTTTCTAGATAAAAATATGCGTGTCTTCTCCGGTAACACTGGTGATAACTTGCCCTGAAAAGGCAACGGCTTTTGATGGCGATTGGCCCATGCGATAGGGAACATGATGCACTGATACCAACAAAATCTGCGCATAATGTACCAAGACGTACCGATTTCGCGAGACGCAAAAAGGTCTATTACCAATTGACAGGCGGTCGTAGGGATCCTGTATGCAAAGTTGCGAGCAATAGAGTGATGCGTGAGGAAACAGATGGGATCCACAAGGACCAATCCAGCTACGATTGAGTCGCTAGTATTTGCAGAGCTTGCGCGGCAGACAGCGGCGCAGAGCATAGTTCCAAGAGAGTGACCCATAAATGTTGCTTTCTGATAGGAATGTCTGTTGAGTATTCGTTTAATGGCAAGATACGTCTCATCGGGCGTCATGCAATCCGTCTGAACGAGCTTATTAGAGATATAAGGAACTTCGATAAGAATTAATGGACGGGAGATACACGCCAAGGCGATGATCAAATAGATATATTGGGCAAGGCCAATCCCTACGCCTTGAATAAACACTAGCGGGATCTCGTTTTGAGGGCTTGAGGGGGATCTATACCAATAGGCAAGATCTGGTGGGCATCGACCGGTTCCATTTGGTAATTTTGAGGAATGGCTGGAACCCTGTTCAGTATATCCCTTGAAGCCTAAAGCCCGAAAAGCTACGTTAGCAAGGGTATTGGCCACCCAAACTAACTGTGAACACACATAGTTGCATAGAAATGTGGGTTAGTTTTGTTGACTCTATTGATCAGGGAAAGGAAACTTTATTTTCCCATGAAAGCGCAATGTATGTGATATCCTACCAGATAATAGATCAGGGGGCGATGCGAGGCAACGACAGGATCGAGATTGGGACGAATACACTTAACATTAGGATTGAATCCATCTGCAAATTTTATCAGCTTGACTCTCTCAATAGTATCAATCATCTGCTCAGCCTCCAAGAGTTCCTCCTTGGTGACCTGTTCAACTGAAGTAGCCCATAATGCCCATACAAACCTGTAACATAAAGTGAAATAATAACGCATTAGAGGATAATGGCTTTGAAAATAATGCGTAACATACACAATGCCTATTATTTCAGCTCTGCTTAAATCACTTTCACCAGCTTGTGTATGATGTTCTTTTGTTGTAAGACACGAATATTTGTCAAAAAAATACAAAAAAAGTACTTGCCAACAAACCATATTCTGTCGCCCAATGTCCTCAAAACGGGCGGGTTTCTTGCGGCTAGTGTCAAACCAACACTCAACCCATTTCTTAGCGCCATCTCCATCTTCCACAGTTTCCAAGCACCGTTGAAAGATCTCTTCTCTCTCGGCCTTGGATTTAATTCCCTGAATGACATTATCTACAGTCTGTAAGCGCTTAAGTTTTTTCAAAAACAGAATATAAAACACTAGCTCTGCTGCCATCCAAAGATGTAACATAGTTACAATCGCAGTCAATGTCCGATGTGAGGAGAGGAAATTTAGCACGGGCTTTAAAAAGTGCATAAGGGGCTGTAACGCAACAAGATATTGAAATCCAGGAATGTTTTTGGGGTCTCGATAACCATGGCGATCGAGATATTTTAGGACAGCTATGAAGACGTTAACAATGGGTGAAGGGAGTGAGTGGGCAACCTTAGAAGGCAAGTCATGGACGATGGATTCCGCGGCAACATCAGCGGTATCCTTGAGGGTCAATTTAGCGGCTGACAATGCTGATGATACTGCAGATGCTATGGGGGTCGTGGAAGGATGCGTGGCTGCTGCAGAGGGAGAAATATTGGATATGGAGGCCTCAGAAATTAGATGTTGGTGAAATGGTCTAAGAAGATCAAGCAAACCGGTGTCATTGTGACCCAGCGTTGAAACATCAGTGTTTAGGAGTTGGATGATGAGTGGAAGATGATCAAGCAAGATGAAGAAGGGAGATTCTTTATAGGCAAGCATGTAGCAAAAATAGGATAAAGCCATTGGCACAATGGCACCAATCAATAACCCAAGGGAACGGATGCCCGTCCTAGTGATTAAATGATCCACAATCATAACGAGGGATATGTAAACACACTAAAATAATGACTTGTTGCTTGGACGGTTGCACAGACGCACGAATAGCTGTGGAAAAGGAAAAGAAAGAGGTAGGACAAAGATTTCAGGAGTAAAAAAGTGCAGAGCAATCCATTTGACAACGTTAGCGCATGTAAGTAAGGACCCAGAATCGGAAAGAAAAAAGATGAGACAGATGAACATGCATTTGCCGCCGAGCGGACATGAGAAAGTACTTATACTCAGAATCCTCAGACTCGATTTCACATGTCAGCAGTATCTAAAGCCGTAAATTTAAAAAAAAAAAAATCAAACCGCTTGATAGATGACTGGAACTGTAATCTTCATCAATGCTAACTAACTGACATCTGGCAGTAATAAAATTTTATCGCCCAATGTGGGGGTCGAACCCACAACCTTGAGATTAAGAGTCTCACGCTCTACCGATTGAGCTAAACGAGCCTCCGATGGAGGTTTTTATTTCTGGAGCCAGGTCGTTCCTACGATTCACGCCGGTATTCTCCCACGTGACTTTCTACTCTAGTTCATATTCTATACTACGAAAAAAAGCGCCATGGGCATGAGCTGAAAAATGACTATCGTGGAAATATTGTGGAAGGCCACCGACCGAACCTAATGCAGTACCGCCGAGTGGATCCATGAAAGAAAGGGTATAGGGAATAGTGTACAAGGGGGAGAGGTGAAAATAAAATAATAAAAATAATAATAAAATAATAAAAATAAAAATAAAAATAAAAAATAAAAAATAAAAAATATAAAAAGGCGAAGCAAATAAGGAAAAGGGAGAAGACCAAGACGCCACCAAAAGGGAGAAAAGGGAAAAAGGAAAGAAAAAAAAGATCAACTTGAAAATGACATCTTCCTCCGCTCATCACCATCATTTCCGCCATGTCCTCATTTCCTCCTCATCTCCTCTCCTCTCCTCTCCATCTCCATCTCCATCTCCATCTCCATGTTCCTTATTTTCCTGAAATCTTTTTATAGGCAATGTTTGCCAAGCCTGCGCCTGGACCAATCAGAATGATGCATGAGCACACCATCTGATCAACTGGAAGAATGAGTCAGAGGCGAGCCTGTGAATGGCGATGGCAGCATGAGACGGAAAAACACATAAATTGCAGCTCCATCTCTGCTCCATTCCTCATTCCTCAACTCATTGCAACCTTTGCCTTTTCGCTTCAAGTTTCCTGTCTGCACCTTCCTCCACCTCCATCACAACTATAACAACAACCATGTCTGCCTCTCTTCGTCGTAGTGTTAGCTTCGGAGGTGCCTCCGTCAAGTGTAGGGAGCCTTCTCCTGAGTCAGTTAGCTCTGACACGACCAGTGCCGGTGCGGAGTCTTCCCTGCCTGTTGTTGGGTCTTTTGCTTCCTCGTCTTCTGGTGCTGCCACCAGACACTCCTCGCCTGCTCTATCGCAGGTGAAGAGTGAAGAGACTTTGCCTCTGTGGCATACGGATTCATCCAACCTCTCTGCGATTGAGATCCCTGATGAGATCTCCTCTGTCGGTGCTGATGAGACCTTTATTTTGCTGTCCCCGAGTCCTCAGGTGCCCGCAAGTCAACGTTTCTTTCCTCCCGCTGCCTCGTCGGATAGGGGTAACCCACCTCTGTCCCGCAAGCGATCCTCGGAGTCGCTTGAAGAGTCTGTTGACTCAGATGAGGAAGACAAGCTCCATTCCGTACTGGTGTCGGAGCTTGCGGACCTCTACCGGTACACGTCGAGGGCCCGTCGGATCCTCCATTACAGGGAGGTCTCCGAGGAAAGTAGGAATTACTACCTTGGGCTTCTCTCTAGGTATGAGAAGTCCGAGGATGCGATCCATCAGACTCTGCGGCAACTTGAGTCTGATATCAAATTCCGGGAGTTCTGTCGGACAGCGCGTAAAGTGTGTCGCCGTAGCTAGTACATTTGCACTGAGACAGAAATAAAGAAAAAAATTAAACAGCAAAAAAAAGATCTGAAACCTTAAAAAAATGAACTGAAAAAAATTCACACGCTTGTCCTCTTTTTTAAAAAGAGAGGGTGTGAATTCTCTGTTTGCAACTTCTTCCTGACCAACTTCTCTTTCTTCTTCCATCACCTCGTCCTCCATCTCTGCTCCTTCTATCGCTGGTCTGTTCATCGCTGCTGCTACTGTCGCAATATTCATTATCCCTCCAAAGATTAGCTCCTCTCCTTCCACTCGGATGTGTGGTGGATAGTTCCATTCCTGCAGAAACTTTTGAACATTGTTGTCATCATTGTCCTCATCCTCACTGTCGTCGTCAGCAACCTCTCCACTCTTCTGTCGCTCTCGCTCGACCTGATCCTTATAGTGCGCTCTTTCCCACTCCAGTTTGATGCGGTATCGCAGCGCTGCTATGGCTTTAGCCTTGAGGACGCCTTCTGGCACTGTTTCCTTGTCTCCCAACTTGCAGTAAGTCTTGAAAATCACTTGCGTGACAGTTGCATGTATGTGAATGACAACTGCAGGCAGCGACTTGACCTCGGGCCAGCATAGTTGGTCTTGTGCAGCATTATCACGAAGATCTAGCTCAGGCACTAATTCCTTTATCCATCCTCGACATGCGTTCCACAACTCTAGCACTTCTGGACAGTCATGAAAGGCATGCCCTCGAGACTCAAAGGCTGCTGGTGCTCCATCTGTTCCACATCGTCGACAATCTGGAGAGACCGGGGTGTTGTACTTGTACTTGCTCTTGATTCCATTCGTCTGGTAGACATGGTGTGCGACCAGGTACAGGTGGTGTCGCTCATTTGTATATCTGTGTTTGCTGTGCAACCGATCAGAGAAAAAGCGATCCCACTGTTTGTCAGGAATAGGAGTGTGCTGGATATTCGGCCATGGTTTGCGGTCCATGAACCTGATGTGCTTGTAGATTGGCGGGCGAAGGTAAATGCTACGAGAGACAGGCTTAGCTATCCAAGCTTTCAGCGCATTGCATTCAATATACTTACGAGCCTTCTTGACCGTGAATAGAGCCATGGGGACATCTTTGCCAAAGACTGTCGTCAGTCCTCGAGCTTGAGCAAGTGCAGGAGGCACACGATCAGCAGGAGTGACCTTTCTTTTGACGTCCAGCTGTGCAAAAGCCTTGACAGCCTCAAAGACCGAGGTTCTTGCGCGTTGGATTTCAGTTCTATGGCGGATGTCAGTCGAGGCAAGAGGAGGAGCTTCCAAAAATTGTTCTGTCTGTTGGACAGAGGTCTTTCTGTAGTACGATTGGGCCATGTCTGTGAATATAGGTTTCCATCGTGCATCCTGTAGCTGCCATCGAGCCATCCATTTAGCCATGAGTGCCTGACACTGGGTCCTAGGGTCAATTAGGTTCCAGCCTCCCTTGTTCTTGGGTCGGCGATACCATGCCAGCGAGACTCGAGAAACTTGATCATTCCACAAAATCTTCTTTGTCAACCTGTCAATCGACTTGAAGAAGTTTGGAGAAAAGGAGTAGAAAGGAGCAACGTGCCAAAGCTTGGAAAGAAAGTAAGTGTTGGCAACCGTCACTCGTCCTTGAAAGGAGAGACGTCGAAAGCGCCAGGTGCTAACCGTCGTCTGCATTGTTTGTAGGAGAGCTCGCTCAATGACTGGCAAGTCGCGACCTTTAGCTTGGATAACCACGCCGAGATGAACAAAAGGTTCATTAAAGGGACGAGCAATGAAGCCATTAAGGTGGATCACCATCGTAGCATTCGCCGTGAACGGGATCAGAGCCGTCTTTTGTCTGTTCACCTTGGCACCAGACGCATACTCATGCAGCTCGATAGCACGCAACACATGCTGTTCGTCTCCTGGAGCAACACCAAGCGTCGTATCATCAGCAAAAGCAGCCACTTTAAAAGGAATACCAACAGTAGGAATGCCCGTCGCGTGATGCTCATAGTACAGAAGAAAAGGTTCCAAGACAAAGTTGAACAGGAGCGGAGCCAGAGGATCACCTTGACGCAAGCCTCTGCGTGCCTGATACGGATTCGATTGGTTTCTGTTCATGACAATGGTGGCAGAGAGATCAGAGTAGCAGCTTCGCACCCAGGAACGAATGCGAGGGCCAAAGCCAAAGGCCTCTAGGACTCGATGCATATATGACCACTCGACACGATCGTACGCTTTTTCTTGATCAAGGGAGAGGATAGCAGCATCTCCTTTATCTCCAGACTGAAGAGAGAGAGCCACTAGTTCTAGCAACCTGACATTGTCATGACCTTGTCGTCCTGGAATAAAGCCAGTTTGCCATTCACCTATAACCTGTTTAGCTGCAGGATTGATGCGATTAGTCAGAGCCTTGGTGAAGATCTTGTAATCACATTGAGTCAGAGAGATGGGACGATAGTTTTGCATCAGTTCATTGTCACCCTTCTTGAAGATCAACGTTGTCAAGGCTTTCCGGTGAGAGACTGGGAGGTCACCACCTTCGACATCAACACTGTTAACGACTTCGAGCAATATAGGAGCCAATTCTCTCTTGAAGGTCTTGTAGAATTCGTAAGGAAGACCATCGGAACCAGGCGAGGATCTATCAGCCATCGAGTCTATAGAGGCTTCAATCTCCTGAAGAGAGATATCAGCATCAAGACTAGTGGTGAGAGCGGGAGGAATCCTGTCGGTGATTTCAGCCAACAAGAGATCCTGGGCGGCCTCGTCAGTGTGTCCAGAGGTGTATAGCTTCTCGTAGAAGGAGCGTGCTATTTCCTCCATTCCTTGTTGCAGAGTTGTGCGGTTGCCGGAACTGTCCTTGAGCGACAAGATAGAGCGCTTTGCATAGCCTTTCTTGAGCTTTTTGGTAAATTGCGGCGAGGCTCGTTCACCTTCTTCAATCCATTCGATCTTGGACAGAGTGATGTCTCGTTCCATACGATACGCTTCATGTTTCCGTAGTTGCTCCCTCGCTTCGAAAAGATTGCTTATGGCGTCAGGGTCGTTTGGCTGGTTATCAAGGGCAAGATCAGCCTCTTTCAGAGTCTTTTGGAGGTCGATTCTTTCCCTAGTGTCATTGAAGCGCTTCTTTTTGCGATATCGTAGTCCTGCAAACAAGCACTTTTTCTTACAGTCATCCCAAAACTCTCCAGCGGACTGAAAAAGAGTAGGATGAGAGGCGCGTTTCCTCAGACAGCGAGATATAAGGGAGCGGATCTCGGTTTGGAAAGCAGGG